GGGTCAGGGCGCCATCTCAACATCTCATCCGAGAGGGACGCTGAGGACACCGCTGCGCCTCGGGGTACGCCCCGGGGGAGGAGGGACTGGGAGCAGCAGCGGGAGGCGCGAGAGGGCCTCGGCGAGCCGCCAGGCTGTGGGCCCGCCGGGCCCTCCGAGCCCCGCCGCCCGCGGGGCGCCGCGGGGCTTCCGGGCGCCCGCGCCGCCGCCGCCGCCGCCCGTCGGCGACAAGGTGGCGGGGGGGGGAGGCGGGGGGATGAGCGGCGCGCGCAGCGACCGTCAGTGGCACGGTCTCAGGGAGCAATCCGTACCCCCGGTCGGCAGAAGTCCCAGGCAAGCGGCGACAATGACTAGTGATTTGTTGTGCTTGTGTGTGCTGACGATATCACCAGATGGGAGCCGCCGAACATCATGATTTACCTGAGGCTGGTGCTAACGATACTGTCGAAGACGCCTACGGCGAATCGCCGCCGCCCCCTGCCTTTCTGGAAGCGCCTGCGTGGCCGAAAGTTGGGTTTGAGCTTGGCCAAGCTATCAGTCCACTCCTTCCCCGAGTAGGTTTCGAAAGCTTTCGAGGAACACGGAGTCGGGCGAGCTATCGGACCAGGTGGTTTCCGAGCTTTCGGGTTTCTTGGAGGATGTTTTGGAGGGCACTTGGGCCATCTTGGAGGCCTCTTGTGGGCCTTTTGGGCAGTCTAAGGCCATCTTGAGGCCATCTGGGGCCGTCTTGGGTGCATCTTGGGGCCATCTTCGCTGTCTTGGAGGCCTTCTTGGGTATTGGAGGCATATTGGAGGCCATCTTGGCCATCTTGGAGGCCATCTTCGGCGTCTTCGGGGCAATCTTGGGCCGTCTTGGGCTCTTCTTGGGGCCCTCTTGGGGGCCCCTTGGGCTGTCATGGGGCCATATTGGAGGCCTCTTGGGCGCTCTTGGGACGATTTTGGGGGCCTCTTGTGCCGTCCTGGGCCGTCAGAGAGGTGATAATAATAAAATGCCCAAATCCTTCGAAAACCTGTGGGAAATCAATCATTGTTGCCCTCGCGGGCCTTCCTGGAGAACGTCTTGGAGGCCTCTTGGGGGCTGGGGGCCTTTTGGCCAGTCGAAGGCCATCTTGGAGCCATCTTGGGCCGTCTTGGGGGCTTCTTGGACGAACTTGAAGGCATCTTGGACTCTCTCGGGCCGTCTTGGAAGCCATCTTGGACCATCTTTGGCGACTTGGACGCCATCTTGGGCCATCTTGGAGGCCGTCTCGGGTAACGTGACCATCTTAGAAGCCATCTTGAGCCGTCTTGGAGATTTGTTTGCGGTCGTTGAGGTGGTTGCGGGGCCTTTCCGGGACCCCGTCGGGATCGGCCGAAGCCCCTGGGTGACTTCTTTTAGAAAAGAAGCAAAGCCAAAATCGAAAGGATCTAGCACGCCGGGCACCCCTGCGGCAGGCCAACAGGGGGCGGCGGATCGAAGACGCCTACGGCGAGTCACCGCCGCCCCCTGTCTTCTGGAATCGCCATGTGGCCGAGCGTTGTGGCAAGAGCTCTTCAAAACTATCGGACCATGTGTTCCACCAGCCGTTGTGGAAACCCTTCGGGGAACACGTGGGGGTGGATGGCGGGGAAGATCAGGAGCAGGCGGAGGAGGAGGTGGAGGAGGAGGAGGAGGAGGAGGTGGAGGAGAGAGAGGAGGTGGAGGAGGAGGAGGAGGAGGAGGAGGAGGAGGAGGAGGAGGAGGAGGAGAAGGAGGAGGAAGAGGAGGCATCTCGGGAGCCTCTGGGGACACTCTTGGAGCCTCCTGGGAGCTTCCTGGGAGCCTCTTGGAGGCATCTTGGGGGCCATCTTGGAGGCCATCTTGGAGGCCTCTTGGGGGCCTTTGGGAGCTTCTAGGGGGCCTCTTTGGCCATCTTGGTGGGCTCCTAGCCTGTCTGACGCCGTCGGACGCCGTCTTGGGGGCCATTCTGGGCCGACTTGGGGCCCTCTTGGGGTGCTCCAGGGCCGTCTTGGAGGCCATCTTTGGTGTTTTGGAGGCCTCTTGGGCCGTCTTGGGGCCCTCTTTGGCTCGTCTTGGAGGCCTCTTGTGCTGCTCTGGGGCCATCCTGGTTGGGGGCCTCTTGGGCCGTCTTGGGTCGTCGGAAGGCCGACAGAGAGCAAATACGACAATCGTTCAAACACCAAAGGAAAATCAATGATTTTAGCATCTTCGGGCCCTCCTGGAGGACCTCTCGGAGGCCTCTTGGGCCGTCTTGGAAACCTCTTGGACACGTCTTGGGCAGTCTTGGGCCGTCTTGGAGGCTTCTTGGGCGTATCTGGAAGTGTCTTGGACCCTCTCAGGCCGTCTTGGAGGCCATCTTGACCATCTTGGAGGCATCTTGGAGGCCAGCTTGGGCCATCTTGGAGCCGTCTGGAGGCGAAACACCCTTTGCAGCCACCTTTCGGGTATCTCTGCCCGCCCTTCCGAGTGGCTGGCGGGACGGGCACGCTGGGCACCCCTGTGGAAAGCCAGCAGGGGGCGGCGGATCTAGTGGCTTACGGCCCATCCCGCCAACTTGTCTGTGTTGTGGGTGAGAGGCCTGCTCAATGCATATGATGGTTTCTTGGGATGTTTCTCGGATGTTTCTTGGAAGTGTATTTGGAGCTTTGCGGGGCTATTCCTGATGTGTCTCGCGGTGATCATGTGTGGACTGTCTTGTGATCTTGGAGTATTCCTGGGTGTGCGTCTTTGGGTCTTTCGTGCTAGATCGAGACAGGAGGAGGGCGAGGGCACAATGAAAAGAACAGAGGAGGGGTGAAAGGGCTAGGCTGTGGTGAAGAGGCCTCTTGGACGCCGCGGTTGGGTCCTCTCGTGGAGAGGCAATTCGCAGAACACCTTTCGGTGAATAAAGCATGAGCAGCGAGTGCGCGTGCTCTGAGACAAACTAGCAGAGCGACGCTCTGCTGCACTGCTAATGACAGAGGCGGAACAGTGAGCGCGCACAAGCAGAGCGGCGCTGTGCTCATTAGAGCCCGAGCAGGATGGGAAGCCCTGCCTTTAGGCCAAGTAAAAGAGCAGCGCTCTCCTAATGAGGGGAGTCGCAACGAATGCGCATGCGATAAGGCAAATTTAATAGCGCCGCTGTGCTAATTGGAGCCCGAACGTCTGGAAATGCATGGCCGATGCCCCTTATTCGAATCCAAGAGTCAGGACAGAGAACGCATGAGAGCCTCGGGGCAACTCCACTTCGTGCCTCGAGGCACGGAAGCAGATCGCTGGGGGAATGATTGCTTGCTTCCCAGGGCCAGCGACGCGGTCAGCGGCACGCGCAGCGACGACGGCGTCAACGGCGACGACGACGGTGAAGACGGCGACAGAGGTCAACGTCGACTGCGACGACGGCGACGGCGACCACGTCGGCGAGGACGGCGGTAGCAGCAAGAGGAGCAGGGTGAGGAGAGGGATGTGAAGGAGGCAGAGGAGAATACCGACGAAGACTACCGCGGCAGTGGCGGCGACGCCGACGACCGTGACGGAGACGACGAGGACGGCGGCGAGGGCGACGACGATTAGGACGACGACGACCCTGGTGGAGACGACGACGCCGCCGCCGCCGCCGCCGACGATGACGACGACGACGACGACGACGACGACGACGACGACGACGACGACGACGACGACGACGACAAGGGCCCGTCGGCAAGCCAGGCAGCAGGCCCGCTCGGCCCCTCGAGCCCCGCGTCGCGGGCGCCTCGGGCGGCCCCCTCGCCCCCGCAGCCGCCCCTGGCGCAGGGCCGGGCGGCGGACCTGCCCAGCCCCTCGTCGAGGCAGCGGGGCTCCACGAGCCCCACCGCCCGCTCGCGAGGGCCTCGGCCGGCCCCGTCGCCCCCGCTCTTCGGGGCCCAGCCGCCGCCCCCGCCGCAGGGCCAGGCGGCGGGCCCACCCGGCCCCTCGAGCCCTGCGTCGCCAGCGCCGCGGTCGGCCCCAGCGCCCCCGCCGCCGCCCAGGCCAGCCGCAGGCAGAGCCGCGGGGCCCAGGGCCGCCGCCGCCCCGGGGGCGGGCGCCGCAGAGGCCCCGGCGCCCGGGCTGGCCGCCACCGCCGCCCCGGCGCTCGAGGCCTCCGCCGCCGCGGCGCCCAGCCGCGAGGGCGACGAGAACGACGAGGAGGAGTTCTGGAAGGTGCTCGCGCAGGTCGAGGGCGTGGGGGCGCCGCCCGAGGAGGAGGAAGAGGAGGGGGAGGCTGTCGTTGTCGCGGCGAGAGACGGCGCCGCCGCGGAGCCCGCCGACGGGTCGACGGCTTTCGCCGCGCCGTTGCCGCCACTCGCGCCTCGCAGTGCTTTCGGGCGCAACGTCGACGAGGCGGGCGGGGGTGGCAGTGCCGCCGCCTGGTCGTCGGGCGGGCTGGCAGAGCCATCGACTGTCTCCGCGCCAGCGCCGCCCCGCGCGCTGTGCGCCGCATCGAAGGACACAACCACTGGCCTGGTCGAAGGCGACCTCCTCCTGGACGACTTGGACCTGGACGAAGGCGACGTTCGCCTCTCGGCCCGCCCAGCGTCGCCGCGGCTGCCAGGCCCACCACCCCCGCCGGCAGACGTCCCTTCCTCGGAGCCCGCCGGGGTCGCGGCAGGCTCCTCTGGGCTGCGGGTCGCGACTTCGCAGGGGCCGGCGCAAGTGGCCAGCGAAGGAGGGCGGCCGGCCGCGGCACCGATGCTGCCGAGATCCCCGCGCAGTCCCAGGCCGCCGCGGGCGGCGGTCGGCGAGCCCACGCCGCACGCGCTGCGGCTGGCGCCGCCGGTCGCCGGCGCGCCAGAAGGCCTTCAGCAGGCGAGTGGGCGTCCCGAGGCTTTGGGTCGCCCAAGTGAGGTCTGATCAGATGGGTTCGGTGGATCGCGCCGCATCGCCGATGCATCGGGGATGCAACGCGAGGCGGAGCCGAGCTTTCTCCACGCCGGCGTCGCCGATGCATCGCCGACGGTCGCCGATACATTGGCGATGCGGCGCGATCCTCCGACCCCATGCCCCATTTCAGAGGCCTCTAGAGGCGCAGCAGGACATGCCGATCCCTCCAGAGCCACCCCTGCTGGCGCCGCCGTCGACGCCAGGGGCTGAGGAGATCTCCTCGAAGCTGTCCGTGGTGCGCCCAGTCTGGCCTGGAGCGTCGCCGGCGGCAGAGGGTGACGACATCTTGAGGCGGCTGGGAGAGGAGGCGGGAGCCTCGTGGCTCGGAGAGGGCGTCGGCGGCAACCTCGACGAGCCCTCCAGCGATGCCGATATGCTCGGCGAGCTGCTAAGCAGCATCGCCGATCAGGCGCCAGACAGCGCCTTTGTCGAGCAGAGGCGCGAGGCCCTGGACAGCGCTTCTGGCACGGAGAGGTACCCCCAGAGTCATGCTGGTCTTCGTGCCCTGGGCTCAGACGCCGTCGACTCGGACGAGGAAGAGGACGCCCCAGAGCACGCCTGCGGCACCAGCGCCTCGCCGCGGAACACCCAGGAGGCGCAGCTGCAGCAGCTGCGCGAGGCTGGGCTGGTCGCGTCATGCCACCGCGCCGGCCCAGCCGCCCCTGGCGAGGCGGTGGCGGCTGCGCTGGCGCAGCCGGGCCATGCTGGTGCCGCGCCTACTGGGGCAAGCGAGCCGGCCTTGGAGAACAGCGCCTGGTGGGAGGAGCACGAGCCGAAGGTGCAGGAGAGCGTCGAGGTCCTCGCCCCGTATGGCTACCGCGCGAGCGGGCCCGAGTGCTGGCTGCTGCCCCCGGACCGCTGCGGCCTGGAGCTCTCTCTTCAGGTGCAGGGGCACGAGGAGAGGGACTCGCACACCTGGTACTTGCTTGAGTGCAGCCTGACGAGTGACCAGCAGGGCGGCGGCCGTACTGACTGGCAGGTGGCGCGGCGGCTCTGGCATCTCAGGACATGGTTGTACGAGCGGATAAAGCTCCGCCTGGGGGCCGCCTACGTAGAGCTCTTCGTCGACGTGCCGTTCGCCCGGCGCGGGGGCGTCAGTGGCACCACCGAGCGGCTGCAAGCCTGGCTGGCGCACCTGGCGTGCCTGATCAACGCTGGGAGGGTCCCTCCCTCGGCCGCGGCTCTCGCGCTGACCTTCCTGCAGGCCCCAGAGAAAGCGGGGACCCGTGCGGAGGATGGCAGCGCTGCGCTGGAGCGGTCGCCCTTGGCGCTGCGAAGCGGCGAGCTGTCGCAGCGGTCCGCGAACGGCCTCCACACGGCGCGCTCGCTGGTGTCGCGCCTCTTCGCGGGCGGCGCCGCGAGCTCCGAGGTGCCAGCCCACCTGGTGGGCAGGAGCTTGCTGGACGCGGACATCTCGAGCCTCACCGCTACGTGGGTCAAAGCCGTGTCCAGGAAGTTGTCCACCGACGGGGTTGAGATCACCAAGGTGGGCAGGAATGCGTCGCCCTACAAGAGGCTCCTGCGCGTGGAGCCAACCACCATGCTCCTGGTCCTCGAGGCGGGAGGACGCCTTGGTGTTGGTTCTTCCGGTACCCCGCTGGACGATCTCATTGATATATCGACGGGCCTCGGCAGCAGGGAATTCGCCAAGTTCTGCCAGAATTACACCAATGTCATTGTTGTTGAGGAGATGATGAAACGTGCCTGTGTGCTCAAGACGGCAGGACGCACGTTGTCTCTTCTGTTTGAGACGGAGGCGAAGCGTGATACCGTCAACCTTTTTCTGGTTTGCTTACTGAAGTCGAAGAGCCATGTTGCGACGGCAGGTGGCACTGAAGACATTCTTGATAGCACCGTGCGCTCGGATAGACCTCGCGAGGGGTCCGCAAAGGTGGTGCAGCACAACAGCTCGGTTTACGAGGGTGAGTTCAAGAACTACTTGCGCCACGGCAATGGCGTGCTGACGCTTGCTGACGGCACGCGCTTCGAGAGCGAGTGGCACAACGACCGGCGGCACGGTGCTGGTGCAGAGTATTGCCCCGACGGCACCGTCTTCAAGGGGCATTACCTGCGCGGCCTGCGCCACGGCCAGGGCACGATGATCTGGCCAGGAGGCGCCGAGTACGTTGGCCAGTTTGCAAACGGGCGGGCCGAGGGAACCGGCACCCTGAAGCGGGTCGACGGAACCGTCTACTCCGGGCAGTTTTCGGACGACTCCATTGGAAGAAGAAAAAACGCCGTAAACATACACTTTTGGCGCTCCGCGCGGATTTCTTGTATCCGAGCCTGGGCCCCCCGGCGGCGCCTCCGGCGCCGCCCGTGGCGCGCTCCGCGCGCCAGGGAGGGGGGTCTGGCGCGGATCCAAGAAATCCGCGCGGAGCGCCAAAAGTTTATGTTTATGTGGTTTTTTCTTCTTCTATCCATGAGCGGGCATGGGGTCATGGTGTGGACGGACGGCGTCTGCCGCTACGAGGGCCAGTTCAATCAGAACCGCCGCGATGGGCAGGGCACTCAGGAGAGAACAAAACACACAGACACAATTCATTGTCGAGTCCCTACAGAATGTGGGAAAATATGGGAAGTGGGGCGAAGACGAAAATGCAAGAAGTATTGAAAACTATGGAGAATCCTCGGATTTGTGTGTGTGTGTGTGTTTGTTTCTGTGTGTCCCTGGGCCCCTTCAGGCACGATGCTCTGGAGCTCCGGCCAGTGGCGCAGCTACGAGGGCGAGTGGCGCGACGGCCTGCACCACGGCCAGGGCACGCTCGTCGACGCCCGCGGCTCAGCGGCCCCCTCGCCGTCAGTCGGTCCACGGCGGGCGAAAATCGAACAAAAACTGCAATGGTTTAGTGTTAGGCGATCGTTGCGCGCTTCGTTCGCGTACCCAGCTGTTCACCCTTCCGCGCACCCGTCCCCGCACCCAACTAATCCCTGGGAGTTCCACGTGAAAGTTGACCATGCAAGTCCTCGCGCATCGATCACTGGCTGCCGTGACCGAGCTTGTCTCTTGATGCACTGGCTGCGGAGACTGCGGTGGATACGTCGAAGAAGAAAAAACTCCATAAACATAAACTGTTGGCGCTCCGCGCGGATTTCTTGGATCCGCGCCTGGGCCCCCATGGCGGCGCCTCCGGCGCCGCCCCTGGCGCGCCAGGAAGGGCGGTCTGGCGCGGATCCAAGAAATCCGCGCGGAGCGCCAAAAGTTTATGTTTATGTCGTTTTTCCTTCTTCTGTTGCACCCCCGCTGGCCAAAGGGCACTGGATTTTCACCCGCGGCCTGTGCGAAGTCGGGGGCGGGGCCCCTGGGTGGCACCTTGGCAGGATCGTGAGAAGTTCTCGGTGGAGGCTTCGCCAGGTCCTCGTCAGTCAGAGCGTACACATACGATCGGACAGAACTCTTGCCGTAAGGAGCCTCGGGGCACCCTTTTCGTTTATCTGAAATTCTGCAGCGCGCCCCAGAGCTCTGGTGGGTCCCCAGGGCTGCTGGGAAGGACTCAACTTCCGTGGGGCCTTCGCCAGCCTTGCCGCTTGCTTTGGGGAGTTCTTGCTCTGGGCTGGGGAAGGTGTCGTTCCCAATGCCCTCAGGAGCGACCAACACCCTCTAGATTTGGATCGGTTGCCTGAGTGGCCGTCGGCTCTCTCTCTCTCTCTCTCTCTCTCTCTTTCTCGGTCGCGGTCTCGGGGGAGGAAAGAAAGGAAGGGGAGGAGGGGGAAGGCGGGGAATCGCGGAAGGGGGCACATGGGGCAGGCCCTTCTCCTCCCCTGTCCTTCTCCTCGTCCTAGCCCCCTTTTGACCCCCCGGCTCGTGCTCCTGCTCCTGCCTACGCTCATTATCTTCCTTCCCCTGATGATTCTCCTCCCGGCCCTCCTCCTTTTCTCCCTCCGGCTCCTCGTCTTCCTCCTCTTCGCGCTTCTCCCTCTCATGCTTCTTCCCCTTTGTTCTCATGGTTCTCCCCCTTTGTCCCCCTCCTCCTCTTCGCAGGAGGGAAAACTAGGCATAGACACCAGTGAAAGTCGATTCCCAAGGAACTGTCAGTAAACATGGGATGCGGAGTGGAAGACGAAAGTCCAGAACATATTACAACATCTTGGGACTCCCGGGATCTGTGCCTATTTCCTTGCATGTCCCTGGGCCCCTCTATCCTCGGCAAGCTCCTCTTCAAACTGCACTCGTCCTCAATCTGTCGTCCTCCTGCCCCGCGTGACGCGGCTGAGCTTGCCGTGCCGAGAGGCGCCTTGAACACGAGGCTCGGCTCCTGTCAGGTGGGAGGGATGAGCCCGGTGAATCCGACTGCTAAGTATCAGTATCGTTTAACCAATCCCCATCCCCATCCCCATCCCCTTCGAGACCCCCACCAAATTACCCCTCCAGTTGGGGATGCACCCTTCGAAACCCGAAGAGAGCAGCCTACATCCCCCATCTAGGAGGGTACATCGGCCAGTGGGGCCCAGGCCATGCCGCTGGGGCTGGGGATCGGTTCAACGATACTCCTAAGTAGTCGGTTCGCTGGATGCGAGGGATCTGTTCCAAGGCCCCAACAGCCAGTAGCCTCTCACAGACGTCGCCCGACCTCCCCGCGCAGAGACTGCCACCCGGCCCCTCGCCGGCGCGCAGAGCAGACGACGGGCCCTCCGCTGGCGGACGCCGTGGGAGGGCCGAGCCCCGATCCGGCGCACGAGTCGGCGAGCAGAACATTCGAGGAGGCCAGGCTACCTATACCGCTACCCTTCCCTCGTCGTCCTCGTCTTCCTCCTCCTCCTCCTCTTCCTCCTCCTCCTCCTTCTCCTTATCCAGACTGGCCTCCTTTTCCGCCTACTCCTCCCTCCTCCTCCTCCTCCTCCTCCTCCTCCTCCTCCTCCTCCTCCTCCCCCTCCTCCTCATCTTCCTTCTTCTCCAGACTGGCCTCCTCCTCCTCCTCGCCACACCTGGAGTCCCCTCAGAATTTTAATCCGAACGAAAGCCACGGGAGAGGTCCGGGGAGTAGCTGTGTTGGTGCCTTCCGATTTCTTCAGAAATGGTTATGATGTTCCAACCTACTTTAACCTTGACCACCAGAAATACTTTCGAGCACCAAGAAAGTACCGAAACTAGAAGGTTTTCACGTGTCGGGCCCCGGGACGCAATACTCGTTCTACACTGTTTCGATGGTTCTCGGGGTGCTCGAACTTGTTCCCCACATCCTAAGTGGGTTTCTCATTCTCTCTGGACCCCCCGTGCAGTCCTCCCACACCTTCTCCTCTTCACACCCACTCGTCTTATCATCATCATCATCATCACCATCATCAACAACATCATCACCATCCATCATCATCATCAACATCATCAACATCATCATCATCATCATCATCATCATCATCATCATCATCATCATCATCATCAGCATCATCATCATCATCATCATCTCACTCATCAGCATCGCTACCACTACCCTAGCAGTGCCATCAAGCCTCATCGTCGTCCACTCACACTCATCCGACCACCCTCATTCACTCATAACGTACTCACTCACCCTGCGCGAGGGACCGTGATGACGGTCTCTCTTGATGACAGTTTCTCTGGCCTCTTTTCACTTACACAACCGCACCTTTCCTGAGTGGCTCTCTCACGCACTCAATCATTCACACACCATCATCACCACCTGCCTCATCTTCATCAGCATCAGTCGCATCATCATAATCCTCATTATCATTACCACTTGCCTGTGTGTCGTCTCGGGCTGGAGCTTCGTTTGTGAGTGAATTGCGAGGAAGTCTCAGGCTGGCGCCCCCTCCCCATGGGGCCCGCACTTCATGTTAGTAATCTGGGCGGGCCACCGGAACCTTGTAACTGTCAACACTTTTGGGCCCCTGAGGCCTAAGTATGGAGGAAGTGTCGAGCGGGGGCCTCGTCCGTGAGTGTATTACGAGGAAGTTTCAAGCGGGAGCCCCCTCCCTATGGGGCCCGCAGCTCAGGTTAGTAATCCGAGCGGGTCATCGGAAAACTTGTAGCCGTCGTCCCTTTGGGCCCCTGAGGCCTGAGTCTGGGGGGGGAAGTATCGGGCGGGGGCTTCGTCTGTGAGTGACTTGCGAGGACGTCTCAAGCGGGAGCCGCCTCCCTATGGGCCCGCGGCTCATGTTTGTAATCCGAGGCGGGTCATCCTCAAACTTGTAACCGTCGTCGCTCTTGGGCCCCTACAGAAGAAGAAGAAGCAAACTTATATGAAGAAGTTGGGGCTCGTGCAGGAGCAACGGGCCACCATCGTGTCCTTCGAGTTCCACCCCGAGGACGAACAACGGTGCGAGGAGTGCCCGCCAGGCCAGCTCTTTCGCCCCCGCTTCCAACCGCAGGGATTCTGGCTGCAGGTGCACGGCTTCAAGGGGTTTCCGATCTACCAGGAGGTCGCCGAGCTGCTGCGACACAGCGCCGAAGGCGCCGACGACGACGGCCAGGACGCGGCGCGGGCGCGGAGCTTGCTGCAGCGAGCAGGAGCTCACGTGGCAAAGCTCGGGGCCGCACGCCGTGCGCCGCTCGGGGTTCACCATGACGCGCGCGTCCTGCTTCACCTCCACGCTGTCGCAAGGCCAGGCGCCGCGCAAGGGCGTCATTATCGACTGCGCGAGGGGCGAGGACGCTGACCGCGCGGGCATGTTTGGCGACCAATGGTGGCTGCGCCTCTACGTCATGTTCCCCCGCGCCACGCCCGTGCGGAACACGCCGATCCCGCGGCCGCCGCCGCGGGAGTTCCTGGAGCGAAGGCCGCCGGCATCTTTTTTGAAGGCGCTCCTGGCGGTCGACATCTGAGCAGAGAGCTCCAGGGCGGAGGCGGAGCAGCTCGCAGCAGAGGTGGGCTTCGTGCTGCCCCTCGCCTGAGCGCGGCGGCGCCCCGCTCGAAGCCCGCGGCTTCGTTTCAAAGCTGTGGTCTCGCGCGCCAGCGGCTCGCGGGGTAGTCCCGACGGCCTGGCCCTCGGAGTTGCCCCGACGGTTGCGGCGCAATGTGGCAATTAGAGAATGCGCCCGTGCTGGCCGAGGAGGCAGCGACGGCGCCGAGAGAAATCGGCACGCGCGCTTATCCAATATAACGGGGAGGAGGTGGCCGGGGATGAAAAAAACAAAACAGCGAGGAGGAGGAGGAGAGCGGGGGGAGAGCCTGCGCCAGGGCGAGGAGAAACGTGACGCAGAGGAGACAGCAAGGACGCCTCAATAATCACGAGGGCGACGAGGTTTATTTCCAGATTCGCCGAGGGGGTTCTGCTGCGCGCTCCTACCGTCGGAGTAATTTTTCGGACGTGATTCTTAAGTATGAAAATTGGACCACATAAAGAAAGGGGTGCGTCCCACGAGCTTCATCCGTGATCCCCCCCCATGACCCCAGTCGTTGGCGAAGACCAGACGCACGCGAGGGCGGGGGCCGCGGCGGCGACGACGACGGCGGCGGCGGCGGCGACGACAAAGACGACGACGGCGGCGACGACGTCCTTGTCCTTGTCCTTGTCTTCGCCCAGGTCCTCAGCATTGCAGCAGTACCAGCATCAGCAGCAACAGCAGCAGCAGACTTCTTCCCTACTCCCTGTGATTCGGCCTACTGCTCTTGCTCGCCCCGTGCTTGAGGAGGATGAGAAATGCGACGACGGCGGCGACGGCGCCGGTGACGACGACGGCGGCAACGGCGGCAACGATGACGACGACGACGACGACGGCGGCGGCAAAAGGCGACGGCGACGGCGACGGCGGCGGCGACAGCGACGACAACGACGGCGCCGACGACGACGACGCCGATGGAGACGTCGTGGCCGAGGCCCGCGGCGCCCGCTTCGGCGCCACCTTCCTGGGGGGGCAGCTCGAGAGCTGGCTCGCGGAGCCCTCCGCGGGCGGTGCGGCCACCGCGGGAGGGGCGGCCCCCGCGGGGGCAGGGCCGGCAGGCCGCCGCGGCCCCCGCGTGCCGCTGCTGCCGTGCCGCGCTGGCTGCTCGACCCCCGTCGACCCTCGGCGCTCGGCCCTCGGCGCTCGACCCCCGTCCGCCCTCGACGCACGCTTTCTTCGGCGCTGGCTCCTCGGCCCCCGTCGGCTCTCGACGCTCGCCCCCCGACGCCCGAGCCTCGCTCGCTCGCTGCCTCCCCGCTCGCTCCTCGGCGGGCCTCGGTGCCTCGGCGGCCCGCTCCTCGGCCGCTCGGTGCCCCCCCTGTTTGCCGCCGGAAAGGGTCGGTCGCCCGGTCGCCCGAGTTGCTCGCTCGATCCGATCTCCTCGGTCGCCCGAGGCTCGGTCGCCCGAGCCTCGACCGCTCGATCCCCAGCCCCCCTCCCGCCCGAGGCGGCTCCTCGAGGGGGGTCGTCGTCGTCGTCGTCGTCGTCGTCGTCGTCGTCGTCGTCGTCGTCGTCGTCGTCGTCGTCGTCGTCGCCGTCGGCTTCGAGGTCGAGGTCGAGGACCTATCGTGCCACCCGTCGCTTAGGCGTTCGTCATGTCGAAACCCCCGCTTCCCGCGGAGCTTCCAAAGTTGCTAGGAGGAGATCGCTCTGAACGGCCAATCCGATCGGAGGGCGTCGTCGTCGTTGCCCTCGTTGTCGTCATTCATTGTTGTGGCACCGTCGTCGTCGTCGCAACAATTTCCAAAAAGGTGTTTAAATGTTTGTCTGTGCCTCCTTGGGACATTCGTCGCCACGGGTGGACGCGGCTTGCAATCCAAGGCAGAACTCTCTCCGGGACTAGGCGTGGATTCGACTCCGATCGATGAGGTCGTCGTCGTCGTGGTCTCCGCGGTTGTGATGACCGTCGTCGTTGTCGTCGTTGCTTTTGATAGTGTCGTCGTCGTCGTCGTGGTCGTCGTCCGCACCGTCGCCACCTTCGGAATCGTCTTCCTCGTCGTCGTCGTTTCCTTGCTTCTGCCTCCATCATTCCTCATGTTCTGTTCCTCTTCCTTCCTATTTCCTCCCTTCACCTTTATTCTCCCACCTCCTTCCTCCCACTTCCCTCCCTTTCAGCAGGTTGCCCCAGATGTTCCGGTGGTGGCAAGGTGTTCTCTGGTCTTTCTCGTACGTTTTCCGTTTGGCTGCGGTGTTTACGATTCAGAGGTCGCCCTCCCTGGACTCGACGGCGCATTGAAGCACAGTTGTCCGGGGTATCTGGGACGCCTGGGACTGGAGCCCGTTCGCGACTGAATTCGTGGCCCTTCCGGAGGATCGAGATTGGGCCTCGACGTCGTCGGATGGCTCGGGGGCTGCCTATCTTGCAGGATCCGCAAGGCAAACCAGTATCGTCCGAGCTGGAAACAGGAAAGCGTTGGCAGCAGCACTTTGGCAGTCTTGAGTTAGCGGCGACGGTGGATGCAGCAGATGCGAACGACAATGAGGAGTAATTTTGGGGAAAGCCGTACGCAGGTACGAGCGAGTCTGAGACACTCGCAGTGCAGTCGGTCGCTGGTGGTCGTCGCACCCGTTATAAGAGGAGGAGGAGGAAGAAGAGGAGGAGGAGGAGGGGCAGGATGATGGAGGATAAGGAAAAGTTGGAGGAGGAACATGCGGAGGGAACGACATCGAGAGCAACGGAGATGAGAACCACGGAGGGGGAGGAACGCATGCAGGAGACGGGTGGATGAGGGTTCACCTAGGATGCAGCCGCCCACAGGTACACGACCAAAGGCGCACCCCCGACGTACCCTGTTGTCACGCGCGCCTCTGGCCCATCCGGGCCCTTTCTGGGGAGGGCCGCGGGGGTCTCAGCCGCCGGGGCTGCGAGCCACAACGAGTGTCATCTCCCTGGGCGTCCTGGGCAAGGGGAGGCAGTCGTGGCACTTGGGCCCGAAGAGGTTCACGGTTCACCAGGACCCGCCATCAATGGTTGTGTTCCGACTTTCTTATCGGGCTTGGCACCGACCCAAAATGACGGCAGGTCATACCATTCCCAAGAATCGAGAAGGGACGGCAAACATGCATTCGTTCACTGTCGGCCGCCCGTTTGTGCGGCGACTGTAGGCATGACCTGCGACGTATCATTGTTTGGCGCAGCCCAGCCCAACCTCCGTGGTCAGCAGGGCCCGCGCGTGGCTTGTGCTGCACACACACACACACAGCTTCCGATCTTGGGCAGGAAGGCGACCTCCCTTACTACGCGGAACGCCAACATCACGATCGTGGGTAGGTTACTAACCCTCCTCGCCGCTGGTTGTCGGGGTACTCCTTCTTGCTTCGTGCATGGCTGTTTTTTCCAGGCCGAAGACCTGCCCTAACACACTTCTGACTCCTCTGGGCATCGCCACTCCGACCATGTTGGCCCGAGAGAACTCGCAAGCGAGACGCCGCCGGCTTTGGAGAGGAACGGCCGAGGAGGACCAGGCGGGGGAGCATGACACCCCATCCACCACCACATCGTCGTCGTCTTCGCCGTCGTCCTCCTCGTCTTCGTCCTCGTCCCTCTCCCCCCCCAGGTGCGGGTGGAGGATGCCGGAGGCGGAGGCGGAGCAGGACAAGGAGGATGACGAGGAGCCGCCGAGGCGCAGCCGCGCCCTCGCCCGTCGCTGCGCGGCGCGCCGACGCGTGGTCCTGACTGGGCGGCGCGCGGGCGGCACGGCCCGCGCCACCGCGCGGCAGGAGCCCGCCACGCACGCGGGAGACGGGGCGCCGCGGCCAGCGCCGTCGGCGGCCGCGCCGCGCCCGCGCCGCGCCCGCGCCGCGCGCGCGCCCCGCCGCCCCTGCGGCGGGGCGGCCCCCTCCGCGCGGCGCCGCCCCGCGGCGGAGGTCCGCGGAGCCGTGTACGGCCACACGCGGGAGCGGCCTGTCGCCAGGGTGACCTGGGGTGTGGGCACACCGGAGGAGGAGGAGGAGGAGGAGGAGGAGGAGGAGGAGGAGGAGGAGGAGGAGGAGGAGGAGGGGAGGAGGAGGAGGGGGGAGGGGGAGGGGAGGAGGAGGAGGGGGAGGGTCCCCAGATGGCCGAACGCGATGTGGCAGCAGCGGCTTGCAGGCTCAGGCTCGCCCGGCCCGCGCCCCCCCCGGAAGGCGCGCACCAGTGTGGCCGGCCGTTGCCCGCAGCTCGCGCGCGCGGCCGCCAAAAGAAAGAGAGAGAGAGAGAGACAGCATCGTTTGACTGACCCCGATCCCCATCCTCATTCCTATCCAGACTCCACCATCTCAGTACCCCAGTTGTGGATGTACCCTTCCGAAGACTGGATGCAACAGCCCATATCCCCATCCAGGGGGGGGTCATCGGCCAGTGGGGCCTAGGCCATCCCCATGGGGATACGGGTCGGAGGAACGATGGTAAGAGAGAGGGAGAGAGGATATATAAGGAGGAGGAGGAGGACGAGGAGCAGGAGGAGGAGGAGGAGCAGGAAGAGGAGGAGGAGGAGAGAGGAGGGAGGAGAGAGGAGGGAGGAGAGAGGAGGCGGAGGAGGATGAGGAGGGGGAGGAGGAGCAGGAGGAGGGAGGACGAGGAGGAGGAGGGAGGAGGGAGGAGGGATGAGGGGGTGGAGGAGGGAGGAAGAGGAGAAGGAGGAGGGAGAAGAAGGAGAAGGAGGAGGGAGGAGGAGGAGGAGGAGGAGCGAGGAGGAGGAGGAGGAGGAGGAGGAGGAGGAGGAGGAGGACCAGTGTGAACCCAAGAGTCATCAACGATGTCGAAGTAGAGCCTCACTACAAGCTCCCTCTTCATAGGCCCCTACAACGGCTCATTTCCATTGAGAGAGCTGCCACTTTGGAAGACATCCGTTTGAAGACCCTGAAGGATGCCAAAACATTGATCTCGGGACTCCAACGCCACGGATCAACCTGACTGTTGCGTCTTGACAATCCTGAATTGTGCCAGAAACCCATTCCTGGGACTTCAGCACAGCGGATCAACATCACTGTTGCACCCGCGTAAACCTGAATCCGTTCAAAACATCATTTTTGGCACGATGGTGACGGGAGTCCATTAACATCTTGCATTTTTTGAAAATGAATGTGCGCCGCGCTGAGGCGAGAGCCAAATTTCGAAAACGACCCGCCCTCAATCCGTGAAGCTCTTGTAATTGTTTACAAACGAATGTGCGCCCCGCTAAGGCGAGAGCCACATGTTGAAAACCATCAGCCCTCAATCCGCGAAACCCTGGCAAATGTTTAAACACGAATGCGCGCCGCGCTAAGGCGAGCCACATTTTGAAAACGACCTGCCTTCAATCCGTGAAACTCCTGCAAATGTTTCAAACAAATGTGCGACGCGCTGGGGCGATACTTACATTTTGAAAACGTTCCGCCCTCAATTCGTGAAGCTCTTGCAATTGTTCAAAACGAATGTGCGCGGCGCTAAAGCGAGAACCACATTTTGAAAACCACCCGCCCTCAATCCGTGAAGGTCTTGCAAATTGTTGAAAACGAATGTGCGCCGCGCTGAGACGAGAACCACAGTAGTTTGAAGACGGCCCGCCCTGAATCCGTGAAGCTCTTTCAAAAAAAAACGAATGTGCGCCGCGCTAAGGCGAGAACCACCTTTTGAAAACGACCCGCCCTCCATCTGTCAAGCTGTTGCCAATTTTCAATACTCAGGGTTATACCAGTAATGAGGAAGTCCCAGCCGAAACGCCCAGCCCGCCCTGAGAACTGGCCTCGGGGTGCGACAGGGAAACATTAGGCAGAAGGAAAAGGACTGGAAGAGGCGGAGGAGGAGGAGAGAAAAGCAGGAGGAGGAGGAGGAGGAAGAGGAAGAGGTGGAGGAGGAAGAGGAGGATGAGGTGCAGGAGGAGGAATAATTATAATATCGGGTGCACGGGCATATCGGTGCCCCTGCTTTTCCTTGTCGTACAGGAAGACTCTGGCACCCATACTTCTCTTCTCCACTCCTCTTCCCCCCCTCCCTTTCCGAAAGCGCACGGACGCCTGCCAAAAAATTGCGACGTTGCGAAAAACAGCGAACACCAAGAAATCACAACAAAACAATCCAACTATGACTTCTAGCGAA